GGGGATGGTGAATAGACGGAGTTTGTAAAAAGGGGCATCATCGCTTCTGCAATTTGAGGTGAAGTACTAAACATTGACGTCATCCCTTTTTGTGTGAGTATTTATTTGTGGTATTGGTTGGACACTGAAACGTCTGAATTGTGAAGAATGAAAAAATGTGCGTGTTTGTCTGTGTGTGCGAAAATTTTACTTGTTAGTGATTCGATAGTTTATAAATATGTAAAAATAATGTAAATATTATATTTTGGGTGACTAAATGGCCTACTTGATTATATAAGTTTCACTGCGTTAATTTACTCTTTCCCCAATTGAAAAAAAAAGGCAAGTTCTACAAATTTTGATGGCTTAAATGCACTCACTACTAGATCTTCCTATGAATTTGTCTATTGCAATAAGCGATGAAAATAAGGGTAAAAAACTTTCGAGAAAAAAAACCTAGACTTACCCTAGTAATAGATGTGTGTTCCTATATAGTTATTTATAAAATATATGTGATTTTCTTTATAATATGTTATTGGTATATTCCCAATAGATTGATAAATATGTTATTTGTAAAAGTACAAACACCAAATACCTCACTGATTTTAGTCTTTCCAATACTTTTCTTTACAGTTCAGCCAAATGAAAAGCAAGGCTATGAATCTAGAAAGGCGTTTCTAAAATGTTAAGTTATATATATATATATATGTATATATATATGTATATATATGTGTGTGTGCGTGTGTGAAAAAAACGCCTAAATTTATATTGAAGATTCAAAACTTACCTCTTAAAGTTTGCTTTTCTACACCGCGTTTCCTCTGGCGGACTTGTGTATATGTAGTAAAAAGAAAGTTCACCCACAACTCTTCTGCAAACCCTTTTGGATGAATACCGCAAAAAAAAGTAAAGGTGCCGAAGGCGTGTATGTATGGTAAAGAATGGACGGTTTGCAAAAATTCAATAGTGAATATTCGCGCTTTTCCTCCGTTTTTTTTGGAGATATAAAAAGGTAACTGAGTGTTTATGAATATGCAGTACTAAATGCTACTCAAAAGTATATATATCAAAAGAAATGGAAAAAATGATGAGAATAACGTTCTCGTCACCTGATAATTATTGAAAAAATGTAATTTATTGGTGAATACCTCAAAGAAGAAAAGACTGTTCTTTCTGAGGCCCTAAATTTTTCTGTTTGTAATCAATAACGAATGGTGTGTGGATTAAAAATACAAGAAAGCGATTAAGATGGTATTATTATTTATATTTTTGCTTTGAACTTCGCGAGCAATAATTGAAAGGAATTCGATCTAATATTCTTAAATTGTAAGGAAAATAAAAATAAATACATTAAAATAAAAACTTGTATATATATATTATATACAAGAAAATGGGAGGGTTGAAAAATATATAGTTGAAAAAATTTTGGAAGGCTAAGTTCACTTTCAATGCGTTGTTCGCGTGGAATGAATCCTAAGCAAAAAAAATGCAGAGAAAATACCTAGAATAAATTTGATGATGGGAGAAAAAAGAAAGTGAAGATAAACAAATAATAAGCATGGTGTGGTGAACCCAATCACGAATCCTGGATGTTTAATACCTTGAGTCTAATAAACTTATTTTTTTTCCTACTAACACATATTCAGGACTCAATTCGATAATCATAAAGAAACAAATCAAGATGAGCTCTACGATTAGTGGGCCCCTACAAATTTTTTGGAAAGCACTTTTCCCTGACTCAGTTTGTATCGCAGGACCTCTCTTGCTTGAATACAACGTGCCGATTCGCTTCATTTATACCCCCCTTCCCCTCCCCAACCCTTTAAAAAAAATTCTTTTGATGGTTGTAGAGGGATGCCTTGATCTCTCTCAATATTGTACGTGTTTCCACCCCTGTTCGCACTTACCGTTTTCTTTGCTTTCAAACCCATAGCGAGCGAGCGCGATGGCCATATCCTCCTCCCGCGAACGCAAGGGGAGAAACCCAAAGCGGTAAAGCGTATACGCCACAGAATCGCACTTCGGGAAAAGACACGTGAACTCCTCCAAGGCGTCAATTTGCTCCCGCGCGCGCACGACAACGTGGGGAATCGGGGCCTTTTCCTCCCCTTCTTGCGCGTTACTTCCGACGTCGGGGGGGCCGTGATGGCGGGGAAGGCGCTCGAACGACAGGGCCGTGTTGGCGTGGCCGCCGGGGGCGTGCTGGAGCAGATCCAACAGCGGCACCACCGTCGCCATTCGCGCCCTTCCGGCGGGGACTTCCCCCTTTTGCGCGCGTTGATAGCGATCCTCGTCGAGGGCGCGGAAGACATGGCGGTAAACCATCCATTTCGCCCGCATCACGCCGCGCGCGAACCCTCCCAGCCGCTCCGGCTCCCCCTCGAATGCCCCGTGAGCCGCCTTTTCGAGGGGAAACCCCCCGCCGTCGGGCCCGAGGGGGAGCATCGACTGCCGCGAAAGCACCACGCGGAAGGCCCACAACATCTCCGCCAGCGACGGGGGGCGGGGCCCCCCCGACGGCGCCGCCGAGGGGGCTAAAAGCGGAGGATCGCGCGACCCCGGCGCTCGCG